CTGACTATAAGTAACTTTGCAAGTACATGTCAACTTATTCTAACCCTAACCCTACCAGTCTACCGATACTCTACTAATATTCTAATGAGAGTTAGTAGACATGTAGGTGCAACGTTACTTATAGTCAACTGAATGTGTTAAAGGGACCATCAAAATAAAGTGAAACCCAATAATGTAATAAATATATATATATATATATATATATAAAATACATTATTGCATCTTTCATTATGTCTATTCTAAAATGAATTCCTGTAGCCTTTCACAGGACTTAATGAAAAACAGTTTTTTCCCCCATGCCATCTCCAGCTTAAACCGCTAACATATGAATCATTACCTGCGTTCTGTAATTAATTTCCGTAATTCAATCTACATCCTTAATTATTGCCTCTTTCTCAAGTATTATGTAAATACATATGCATATCTCTTTATTTATACAGTTCTATATAGAGTAAATGATGCACAAATCTGTACATAAATCTACTGTTCCGGATTCATACACATTTATTGTTAAGTTTTACTATTTAAATGTTTTTTTGTTTTGTTTTTTCTGTTCTCATGTCAGATGTGTATGTATGTATGTATGTATGTGTGTATGCATGTATGTATGTATGTATGTATGTACCAGGAGCACCTTAAAAAACCACAACAAATTCCTCGTGTGTTTGCACACCTGGCGAATAAAGCTAATTCTGATTCTGATTCTGATTCTGATTCTTTGCCTGTGGTTAATACAGCTAAAGCTGTAATACAGACTCTGTTGCAGGAGAAGACCTGATGAGACCTGACTATTGAAGTCAATATGCAATGGGCCCATGACTGGTCCCTGAGGAACTCCTGAGCAGAGTCACGTATTTACTGCTCTCATTAAATACATACAGACATATTCATTCCTTTCATTAGATTGAATTCCTTAGGGGTTTTAGTCCCATTAGGACACCAGAAACTTCACAATTTGGCTTTAATACAATGTCAGTTATATTGAATATCATCATGTTTTTAAATACTGACATTTATTTATAATTATATCCGTCTTCTTCACGTCTTATTAATATCAACATTTTAAATGCAGCTATAAAAGGGTGAAAGTAGGCAAGATGAGCAGTGATGGTTGAATACGAGTGATTTTTATTTATTTATTTTTTTTTTCTCCAAGTAGCATCTGCATCCATCTCTCCAGATTTGTCTCACACTGTTGGATACAAATGTAATCAAATATAGCTCTGAATCATGGGAGGAGTTCAGGACCGCTTACTTAATTGCCTTTAACCCAATTCATATACTTCTCGCTGTAGGAGAATTGGAACCATGCAGGAGTGATTACAGCATCACCAAAAGTAAGAGAGACTGATATGAAGAGGCAGCGGTTTGAAAGGAAAGAGGTGCAGATTGGGAGACTTAAGAGAGATTCCTCTACAGCTTATTGTGCATATTTTTCTTCTGTTCTGTTGACTGCTGGGCTTGGCAATATTTTTGATTAGCATTTTTCGTGCATTCAAATTTTATGTAAAAATATTTATAGTTAAATATTGCTGTTTAGTGCTATGCATTGCTAAATTGGTGCACATAAATTAAATGGTTTAAAAATTGTTCAAGTTTATTTATTTATTTAAATATGCCTTGATTATACTTTTTCACCTTTTCATGCCAATTTGTATAAAATGCTTGTGCAGTAATTATTGCCAAAATACTAAAAATACCAACAAAATTATACGTATGCACTTATGGGTCTGTGAGCTGGATCATACTCATAATTTCTGCCAAGCCAAAAAGGAACAAATATCATTGAACAATTTAGTTTCAGGTCCATGTACACTTGTTTCATCTTTAAGTTTAGGAAAGAAGTAAAGAATAGCTCTCAACTGATGCTATAGGGTGGATTGATGGTGTGTTTTCGTTTTGTGTCAGACAGACTGCTCATGATGGTCTGGATATAGAACTAACCCCCTCCCTCTCATGAAATTTCCAATTCACTGTGTGAAGCAAGTACAAATAAATGTGCCATTTGACAACAAGGCTATCAGATGTGACAATCTTCCAGGGATAGCCACAGTCATGCCACTGTGACCAGCCAATTTCTAGGCTTGTTTGAGGCTGGGGCGGAAAAATAAATGTCTACCAAAATATTTACAGGACTGAACATTGGAAAAACTGTGTGAACAGCATATACAACAAATGCAGAAAAATGCATCTCAGATTTGAAGATGACATTTGAACGGTTATATAACACATCAAATAGGCATTTTAAAATATCTTTATTTGGCACATTCTTGTAACTTTTCAAGACTCAAGCTTTAAAGCATACCATGCCTGATAGCCAAGTGCCTATAATATTTTTTCAGTGCAATCCACTGATACTCACAAAGAAGGAAGTTGCTGTATTATTTCCTTTGTTCTGTTCCTTTCTCTCAGATCCAGGTGATTAGCTTTGTGACTGAGCAGAACTGGGACTCTCTCGAGGTGTTTGATGGGGGTGACAGCACTGACACCATGCTGGGGAGCTTCTCAGGTGGGCTGTCTAATACTTCTATAACTCTGTTCATTACATAAACACATTGTCACAATGTTGCTTCTTTTTTTTTTGCTTTGAATGCTTGGAATATTCCTATGTGAATGTCTGAGAGAAATGCACAGTTTGTCTTGCACAGAAATGTAGTTTTGCATCAATATTTAGACCACTGTATGATGTATGAACAGTTTATACATCATAAGAACGATTCTCTATTGTCGCCAGTGTGCATTTGTGTTGCATTATGGGAATCGGAAGCTACTTACACAGTAGAGAAGGCTGAATTTTCCCTTTTATTGGCACAAAGAGCAGGCACAAATTTTACAAGTGCCCTAGAGAGGCACTGGATATGATTTATACACAATCATATCCACACACACTGAGCCATATGACTAAAAGAGCTGTATAAACTTCAGACGAATGCATGCTTAACGATTCTCATCTGCATTGGACTTTTAGAAATGAATGCTTAAGGAAGAACAGTGTGTATTTTTATTGTATTTTACTTGACTTTTAAACAATAGTGCAGAGCACGATGTAAATTCAAAGACATCATAAAACTTGATATTCAGACAGTTGTTTTGTATTTCAGAAATGTCTGTGTACTTGCCAAGTGAAAATAAATGCATGATGTTTGGTTTGCAACTTTGCTTTAATGTCATCTCATGTAAGATATGCATGATTTAAAATACTGTATGCAGAATAAGATAAAAAACCTCCACATCATTCCATAAATATCTTAAATTGCTTGCTACAGTTCCATGCCTTTTTTTTTTCACTTTTATCTTTAGTAGTTAGCCAATGTTTTCATCTTATATTTTATTTCAGCTTTATTTTCAGCTTTGTTTAACAGAACCGATTTTAATTATTTTAGTTTTAGTTAACAATAACAATGTGAAGTGTACAAAGTTTAATTTGCCACTATCAAAAAATATGTCTTGTACAAAGGTCAAGGATACATTGATTCAACTACATAACCACAATATGCTTACGGATTCGTTATTCTACAGGCACAACAGTTCCAGCCCTCTTAAACAGCACCTCCAACCAGCTCTACCTGCACTTCTTCTCAGACATCAGCGTCTCTGCAGCTGGTTTCCGTCTAGAATACAAGAGTAGGACATTTGTTGCAGTCCTGTGCATCTGGACTACACACACATCTCTAAAAACTCAACTAGCTTTTGCATTCAACTTAATTCCTCTCTTTATTTGTCATGTTTTCTTGTTTTCTCTCGCAGCTGTGTCCCTCACTAGCTGTCCTGAACCAGTAGTACCCATGAATGGCTTCAAAGTGGGCGAGAGACTCCAGATGAACAGTGTGGTGTCTTTCCAGTGTGACCCTGGATATACTCTGCAGGTGAGACTGAACTTGCCAAAAGTTGGACAAAACCGTGGACACAATGCAGCAGTCGTTGTTTCAGGACACAGAAGTTACATCAAGTGGCATCCCAACACAATTCCAAAATAGTTAATTGTACAGAATACCAAAAAATCTATAAAACGCTCTCTGTAGCAAATAATTCACTGCTCAAAACAATGTGGTCAGAGGAAACCATGATTAGTCTTGATTTGAGAGCATGTTATGCAACCTGGCCATGTTGGCACCTATCTAATTTGTCAAACTTTTATGGAAAATAAATGATTTTTCACAAAACTAGTGTAGAGTTTAACATTTCACATCAACAACAAAAGATTTTCCCCTGGGAAACTTATTTATTTTTCTCTGTGGACTGCTTAAATTTATGTACTAGTAGTAATGCCAAGGTCATGTGTTCAAAAGACCTTGCAGTCAGTTTTTTGGATAAAATGTTGGTTGGAGAGATGGGGGCAGTGACAGTTAATGATTTTTCTGATGCCTGGCTTCATGTTGCTCATCTGCTCTTTTACATTTGCATTACCTGTTGGTGGTGCTGGGTAGATTACTTACAAATAGTAGTCCATTACTGAATGCAAACCACATGATGAAATTTGTAGTTAGTTACGTAATCTGTTACATTACATATTTTAGGTAATATAATCTGACTACTTTTTGATGACCTGAAAAAGCTGAAATATTATGCAATACAATAACTTATGAAAAATACAATACAATAACTTATGAAAAATGTATGTATTTTGTGCATATTAAGTAATCATGTAATGAATAAAAAAGTAACTGTAGTTTGATTATGAGTATTTGAAATGTATTTGAAAAGTATTTTACATATAATCAGTTACTAACTCGCACTGCCTGTTGGTCACTGCTGCAAACAGTGTGCAAACCTGACAGCTATTTCGGGACAGTTTGAAATTAGTTTACATCTGCGATTAGTAGTAGCATAGACTCGCTCAGACTAGATGCAGACTTAAAACAAGAAAGGATGATGAGCTTCAGAACTTGGCTTAAGAAAGCCCAAAAATCTTAGGGAAAAAAAAAACAAAACTGGATGGTCAGAATGTGGCCAGTGTGAATACTGAATGAATGAACGAAAGACTGAAAAATTATTTTTATGTTTTGTCTTTGCAGGGAGTCTCCCATATCTCTTGCATGCCAGTGCCTGTGCGCCTCTGGAACTATCCGCCTCCTCTCTGCATCGGTAATAACTTCTGTCATCTTTTATTCATTTATTTATTAAGCATTGCATGTTTCTTGAGAAAAACCTAATAGTGTCCTATTAGGTACTTATTAGTTCTATCTCCTGCTGTGATTGGCAGAGCTCTTGAGATGATTCATGGCTTGGACTGTCATCAGCAGTTTCCTGATTCCTGCTGCTTTTTCAAAGACACAGAGCACATTTTTAACCCCTACATTCAGGATATGAAGCTTTGTAGGGCTTCTCAGTACATCCATAGGGTCTCTTTGAGTCCAAAGCCAAGGCTTTAATCAGAGTGATATTTGAATCAATCAGTAGTTTAGACTCAAAGCCTCGAAAGGAGGAGGGGATAGAGCATGCGTTTTCACTGATATGAGAAGATTGAAGGCTACAGAGGTGCTCGAGTGGCCTTTGATAGCTTTGGGAAGTGAATTGGCCTTTTTAATAAATAAAAGACTTGTTTTTCCTATGATGTCAATTGAAAAGCTAATGTGTTACATTTATTTATTCGGCACAAAGCTTTTAGGGTTACTGCACAAGGTAGACGGCATTGCTAAGCAACGTGAAACATCAATCGACTTGTAGCCCACACAGGTTGCTGAAGATATAACAGTACATTGCATGTTTACACATCTTTCCAAATGGATATATATCTTAATTAGTTAATTATATATCTTAATTATTTATTATTAGAGGCAAATTAAAAGAATCTTGCTTACTTTCTTTCACAAGCAAAGTTCTAATTTTCTTGCTTCCATTAAAAGCAAAAGATGCATAATATTGCAAACATAACCAATTTAAAATCCTTTAACAAATTTAAAATCCATCTCATGTATATCACTTAATACATATCACATATAAATTAGATTTTGGGTAACAGTTTAGAATACTGCTCTGTTGTTAATTAATAACTACATAGGAACAAATTACTAATGCCCTAATAACATTCTAGTAACTACTATTAACTAACAAGAAACACTGATTAACGATTTAGTAAGTAATAGGGCTCAGTTGAAAGTGGTAGTTCACTATTAGCTAATCAGTACCTACTATTTTTTCATATATCCAAGAGAACTACTAAGAGCTACTATACAGGTTCATAATTAATGTGAATTATGCATAATGTATAATTAATTCTTAAGTAAAGATCATGGTAACCCACTAGTAATGACTCAAGTATTACCAAATCCTTCTAAAGGCACTACTAATTATTTGAATCAGTATTCTAAAGTGAAAAGCATGATAACTCCCTAATGTTGACTGACGTCATTGTAAGCTTTTGAGATATATGTAAGGTTTTGGATAGTAATGACTCAAGTGTTACTACATCATTCTAAAGGAATTACTAATTACTTGGATCAGTATTCTAAAGTGAAGATCACGGTAACCCACTAGTAATGACTCAAGTGTTACCAAATCTAGCAAAAGGAATTACTATACAGAATCTTACAAAAACCTCAAAAGCTTACATGATTTCAGTAATTACTAGATAGTGATCGTGTTATTCACTTTAGAATACTGATCCAAGTTCCTTCTGAAGAATTTGGTAATACTTGAGTCATTACTAGTGGGTTACCATGACCTTCACTTTGGAATTAATTTAGAATTTAGAATTAATTATTAATAATTGCATTATTCATATTAATTATGAACCTGTTTACAGTAGTTCTTATTAGTTCTTATGGAGGTATGGAAAAAATAGTAGTTTTCAATGTGCTCTTAGACGTTTGTATCCCACTCTACAAAAGCCTTGCTGGCTCACCAAAAAAAAAAGTTTGCGTTCAGGTCAGTGACAGCAATTTTCACTTTCAGTCATCTGCCATAAATATATACATATATTACCACCAATCAAAAGAAGTGGAAATAGCCTGTTGGTCGTCTCATATCATTCTCTAATGATAGCCTGACAGCTGACCACTGTTTTTGTTCCGTTGTTTTTATTGGTCTTTAGAAGTACTTTAACCTTGAGCACAGCAGGGTTGGCTTACACCACGGTATGTGTTTTCTACAAATGAATGGTTCTAACACTGGTCCCACCATTTTTCTTTTCAGCTCAGTGTGGGGGAATCAGAGAAGTAATGGAAGGCACCATCCTCAGCCCTGGTTTCCCAGGAAACTACCCTAGCAACAGTGACTGCACCTGGAGGATTTACTTGCCAGTCGGTTACGGTGAGGACACAGCAGAATGAGCAGATGCTGTTTAGAAAGATTGTTGTTAATGGCAGTGAATTCTAGTTTAAGATGAACTGGATAAAACTGGTAATGCTAACCATGATATTTTACTGGTTTGTTACTGGAAGTTACCAGAAATGTCAGCTGTAATACATCAAATTCCTACCTTTTAGTTACTAATGCCAATCACATTTTTAATATTTCATTTTTAGCATAGAATATGCATGCACATTAGCTGGACAAGCCTGAATAATTTTTTTTTTTTTAGTGTGATTGAAGCTAAAAAAGCTAATTTGTTGATTCCTTTGTTGTCTGATTTTGCTGCAGATTTGAAATATGATATAAAAATAATATCAGCAAACTTTTTTACTGTATGTCTATTGCGGTAACACTTGCAGTAACACAGATTAGCTGTATATTGAAGGAAAACTCTAGTTAATGGTGAATTCCCTAATCTAAAGTGTTACCCCTGTTGCCTATATAAAAATAGCCGTTAGCAAGCTGGTTGGGATATTAATTTTACTAAACACATTTTGTTTTCTAATCCAAACAGGGGCTCATGTGCAGTTCTTGAACTTTTCCACTGAGGCCAACCATGATTTCCTGGAAATTAGGAATGGACCTTTTGACACCAGCACAGTGATTGGCAAATTCAGTGGGCAGGACTTACCACCATCTCTTCTAACCACTTCACATGAGACTACTATGTATTTCCATAGCGATCACTCTCAGAATAAGCCTGGCTTCAGATTTGATTATCAGGGTAAGGAAACTAAATAAGAAACTTTGAAAGTTTTTATCAAGATTAACCATTTAAAAAAAAAAGCCTCCACATATTGTTGTAGTTAGCATTGTTGTTGCAGTACCGCCTTTGCACATTTATTTTCTCAGGAACCTCAATTTGCATGTCATTTTCAATACCTTGCCAAGACGATCAGTCAAGATAATGAGTAAACACGGTAATAACCCATTCTCTGTGAAGCTGTGCATAAAATCCATCAGGTATAAAATGCTGCTGATGCCAGAATCCAAAGTATAATATGAGTCCAATGAGTGAATTTAAAATTGTCATAGAAATGGGCTTTTCTAGGATGGATCCGTGAAAGCTATCAGAATTTACACTATAATGCAATGACAATTTGCAGTATTGAAATGGCTTGTGAAATCAATATTTACATAATTATGTGTACATTAGCATATAAATCAAGCATTATATCTGGCAGTATTCCCTTTTGCAGTGCTTTGTAAGATGCTCTGATCCACAGAAATTAATTTATTTAGTTGTGGTCATTCAGTCTGAAAGCTTCAGCGTATTTCCTTTTGTGTCTATGAGATTTGAAAAATAATTTAGAAAAAGTTGTTATAATGGCTCCAGACTCGGACAGAACTAATGAAAAGAAATAGAAAGCATATGATTTTTTTGTTTATTTCAAAATGTTTCTTCAGAATGAATTGAAAGACACAAAAAATAGACGTAGAAACGCAAGATAAACATCTTGACCCAGAGACAAAATGTGGTGATGTTTATGTGTTCTAGTGTTTTCACTGCCTGCAGTGAACATTGATCACTTGGTTGCATTGCCATGAATTTCAGACCTGCATGTCTGAGAGAAAGTTGTCGGAGCTTTGATTACATTTGCTTTGAATCAAATCCCAATGCTTTGCTGGGGTACAGCGATCAGTTGATTCCATGCATATGGTTTACATGTAAAATTCACAGAATCTAGGTTTAGATTGGTGCTTGGAGCTCAGAGCAATTTTTCTTTTTTTGATGAAAGTTGATTTCTTTGAGGTGTCACAAAAGATGGACTTGGGCCTGGCTTTCTTCTACCAGGTTCCTAAATAAATCATACATTTTCTTCCCGTCTTTCATGTATCAATATGTCTTTTCCAGCCTATGAACTTCAAGAGTGTCCTGATCCTGAACCCTTCTGCAATGGTGTGGTGGTTGGGGCTGGTTATAATGTGGGTCAGTCCATCTCATTTGAGTGCTATCCAGGGTATCAGCTGATGGGACACTCCATTTTTACCTGTCAACATGGCACTACGCGTAACTGGGATCATCCGTTTCCTCGCTGTGAAGGTACAACCAACTCCATTTTCTCCCCCACACCAGTAAACATCTGGTATGCTTATTTGCATTCTGAGAGGATAGATTTTATTTAGTAACCAACCTAGTTTGTAATGTAATGTGTCAGATTTAATATACTACACATTGTCATGTAAAACATTGATATTTTGGAGGTATAAATAATCTGAGTTACACACTGGAATGTGATTAATTCCATTCATTAAAAATAAATATGAGTTTTAAAGGTTTTGTTCAGAACATGAAAATCCTGACATCACTTGAGCACCTTCATATCGTTCCAAACCTGTATGACTTTCTTTTTCCAGTAGAGCACAAAATGAGAGGTTTCACACCATGTTCATGCTGCTCGTTTTCATACAATGGAAGTGAATGGTGACCAGGGGCTGTCAAGCTCTACAAATAACAAAAAGTGCTATAAAATAGTTTATACATAAATAATTTACTTAACTGCTGGCAAATACTATATTATGTATGTTTAATTATTAGCTTTGTTCTCCCCATCGTCACTTCAGCTTTGAATGTGGGGTCCAGGAGGGCAACTGCACATAAATGTAAATTATTTACTGTAAACCATCACTGCAGACTCAATGGCTTTATTCTAACATCTGCTCCAAGGGGATGATGGGAAACTAATCGAGTTCATTCTTGACCCACATTCTCATGCTCATTTTTCTGTTGATTCAATGAGTTAATTATTCAGCGGGTCACGAGGTAACATATGCACAGGGGATGCTGAATGCTCGTGTGGACATAAAGACGCTCCAGGGAGGTACTCAATGGGCTGACATTGCATTTGCAGCCTCGTTGCCTTGTTCAGGCACTAGTGCTTTGCCCAGCGTCGCTGCACAGGTGAACCCGCAAATAGAAACACACATTATTCATCCGCTTTGTGTTATAATAATCCACACAAAGAAAATCTTAGTATCAACCTGGGCCTTGTTAGAACACTCTTGCACCGTGCGTAATTGAATTTGCAGTAATCGAGAGCTCTGGTGTGAGAGTGTAAAAGGAAAGAATAGATATGATGCATCACACCCCCATGCTGTGTAATATGAACAGTCAAGATGAAAGATGTGACTCTTTTTCTTTTAGACCATCTCAGCTGCTTGAAAGTCTCCTACTATAATATTTACATAAGTACCTCAGAACAATATTCTTCAGCTTTAGTGGATGTTTAACAGGTAAATGGCATTTTTGATGGGTTGCGAAGTCACAGCTAGATTTAAAATTAATGCATCTTTTTATAATAGCTTTTAATACTGATAAAATCAACAGACAATGGGCATTTTCAAGCATCCTGATTATTTAGAATTTTATCGTGTCCATATAATAAACCCATACAATAATGGGTTTAAAGGTTAAATTCAGCCAAGGCTGTCTGTATATTTGTTTGACATTTGAATATAATTGTTTATAGACTGATCGTTGACCATGCGCACACTCAAGTTCGTCCATCTTTACCGATAGTAAAGAGCTCTATAGTGCTTTGACAGTGCATTGCTTTAGTTTAGGTCAAAGACTTTATGCTGTGGTGACTGATGAGATGTCTCTTTAGAGGCACAAATTACAAATTTAACACTGAAATTCACTTTATTGCCTGTTTTAAAGGGGTCATATGATGCGATTTCAATTTTTTATTTCTCTTTGGAGTGTTACAAGCTCTTGGTGCATAAAGAAGATCTGTAAAGTTGCAAAGACTAAAGTCTCAAATCCAAAGAGATATTCTTTATAAAAGTTAAGACTTGTCCATGCCCTCCTAAAACGCCTTGTTTAAACATGCCCCCACATGCCTACGTCACTGTGTGGGAAGATTTGCATAACGCCGCCCAAATGTTCACGCAAAGAAAGAAGGCGTAACTTTTATTCTCGCTATAGTATTGTTGCCGCCGCTGCCATGTTGTGGAGATGCTGTGTGTTTCATTGTGAAAGCGAAACTACTTTGTTTGGCCTTCCAAAAGAGGACGATATCCGCTTTGTCATGCCTAGAGCTGATCCGTGCTGGTCGCTGAGGATCGGCCAATCACAACGCACTGGATAGCTGGCCAATCACAGCACACCTCGCTTTTCAGACCGATGAGCTTTGTAAAAACTGACGCATTTCAGAAAGGCGGGGCATAGAGGAGAAACAATAATGTACATTATGTGGAAAATGTGTTTTTTGAACCTTAAACCGCATAAACACATTGCATTACACCAAATACACAAAATAATGTTCTTTTTAGCAACATCATATGACCCCTTTAAATTACATTTAAGTAGAATCAGGGACTCAAGTAAAGTACAAATTCTTACTAATATAATTATAGTACAGTTACTAATAGAAGTATAGTACAAATTTTAAGTAAATGTTAAAATTATAAGTACTTCACACCCCTACTGCTCTAGGTATGATCAACATGTGCTGCCACCAATAGTTCATGCCCAGGCTGTCATGTACATAGATTTCCTCTCCCAGGCATTAGAAAGCTGATCGATTTTCTCTTCCTCTGCCCCACCTGTTCATATCAACCTACTTGGCCTGTCCTCCATCTATGGCTCTCTCCTCTTTTTTAGTTCACCACAGCCCCACATCCTCCCATCCCCACTCACCACTAAACTTTTTTTGCCCAATCGATAGCATCACCATGCATTTCTTCTTGATAGCGTGGCATGTTTTTTTTAAATCAATGCTGTGATCGATACTTCATTTAGCAAGTAAGGTGGCGAGAGAGAGCACACGGCACAAGGGATTAACATAGGCACCCCTCTCAGCATTCCATCGGAGACGAGAGGAAATGAAGGAGGAGGAAAGAATGCAGGAAGAATTGTAGAAGGATTGAGAGGGA